AATGGGCTGCTTTTCGAGGGGATTTTGGGTGGCGTCCCGACATCCATTTGGGGCGATGCGACCTATGGTTGGAAAGCTCTTTGAATTTAGTTCCACTCTCTAGTTGAAGGTTTTGGCTAATTTTGGCTCGAAGTTCACGAAAATCTCACTTTCCTCTCCAAAAGTCAGTCTGGAACTTTTCTGGGTTTATGTTTTTTTGAGTTGCGTCTGAGGGTGAGTTTTGGAACGACCGTGAACTCTCCTCCTCTTCTCTCATCCCCTTTTTTTTTATCCCCCAAAATTACGTGCTTCAGAGATCCTATCCATCAAATCCAACCCGATTTTTAGCCCGTGATTGCCCATTTACCAAGCCTGCAAACTGAGTCTCTTCACCAACTTTCTGACTCCAAAATCATCATAATTTGCAGCTGTTGAGTGAGCAGGTTTGACTGAGATTATCACGTGTCTTCAGCAGCTTATCCCTGGCAAATTTTTGTCCATTTGCACTCCTAATGATGGTCTCACACCTCGGCCAGAGTTCACGCTGATCGGCTGGCTGAGTAGGATATGGTGGGGCCACAAATTTGGCTACTCAGCAGCCTCGAATTGAGACCAAATCGTGGACCGGTTTTTGGAAGCTAATTTAAGTGCTTTAATCCATTCATTTGGTCGGAATTTTTGATCAGTTTGAAATTTGAAGTATATTAGTTTAAGATGATAATCAGAATCTGCAATTTTCCATGCCCAATTTTGCAGGAAAGTCCCTCAAAATTAGCCATTTTCTTGCTCGAGGATGCCCGATTTGAGCCAATTTAGTCCTTTTGGCTTGATCTGATCAATTTTACCTTGCCCGTTTTCAATTTCAAGCTTGATTAGGGTTAAAAATGATGATTTAAGGGCTTGGGGGCAAGTTTTACAAATTTTGCGATTTGGTCCCCCAACATTTGGAAATTGCATTTTGGCCCCAATTTCTTTGGTTCATTTGCAATTTGATCCTCGGGTCTCGGCTAGCTACACTCGAATCCTTGGCCCTTGCTCTTCCGTTTTTTTTTAGTAGAATAATTCCAAAATGTTTTTGTGGAAAAACAAGTTCTAATTTTTCGAAAATGATTTTTGGGCAAAAATTTAGGTGTCACAAGCCTAGAATCGGTGGTTCCTAAGGGAACCGGTTCGGTTCCCAATTCTAATTTATTGAAACCGTTGAGTACTAGTCCGATTCTTGGTTCCAAGTATAAAATCGCCTGCCACCCACCTTTACTGGATCGGTAATATTGTGATATTCGCATTTTTTATATTTCGTCACCAAGACCATACCATTTTGCATCAAATTTGGTGGTGATAATGTCAAATATGGGAATTGAGATGGGCACAAGATAACGATTGACCGAGGATCAATAGAAAACGAACTTGGACAAGCAATGGGTGGCCGGAGATTTGATTGCATTCGATTATCTAAGAAAGTAGGAAAAAGTGCAACAAATATGGTCAAAAGATATTTGAATGGTGAGAATTTTGAGGAAAGAATCGTGAATGGACTGGTGAGATGTTTGAATGGAGAGAATTTCATTGGATGGACTTGGGAACAACTTTGAAAGGAAAGATTGGTGGCAAGCGTTAATCAGTCAACACCAAAAAGGGGAAAGAAAGAATTTTTCTTTCCAACTTGCAAGGGCAAAATCGCAATTGATGCAGCAATGGAAGGGGGATTTTGATGGACAAAAACTAGACCTGTTAAACGGGTAGGTCGGGTCGGGTCGGGTTTGGGTCGAGTCATAAATGATCCGATCCAAATTGACCCATTAACCCGTTTATGACCCATTTATTCGTAGTGTAAATATCCCGACCCATACCCAACCCGACCCATATTGTGAAAACACTTTTATAGTTAACCCAATCTAGGAATACTTGTTTCTTATGATTTTTTTTTAAAATTATACTGCTAAAACATTTTATGCAATACAAAGCTAGCGAAATTTTTTTATAATTTTTTTTAAAATTAAGGTTCTGTTTGTTTTGCAAAAAATGCAACATTTTTAGAAAATATTTTCCATAAAGTCATTATCCAAGAAAATAAAAAAAAAATTTGACGTTTGGCTGAAACCTGAAAATAAACTAGAAAATATTTTTCGATATTTGGTATATGAAATCTGATTTGATTTTACTTTGTGCATTCATTTTAACAATATTAATATTTTTTTATTTTTTAAATCGAATTTTTAATTATTTTTTCCTTTATTTTTGGCCGATCGCCGTGGCCGGCGACCGACCACAGGCGAGGACGAGCTCGCCAGAGGCCAGCGAAGCTCGTTCTCACCGATTTGGCGAGGTCGAGGCCTCGCCGGCCTCAGGCGAGGCTCCAGCTTGCCCGATTCCGGCGAGCCGAGCCTTGTCAACCTCGGGCGAGGCTCCACCTTGCTAGATCCGGCGAGGTCGAGCTCGCCCGAGACCAGCGAGCTCGAGTCTCGCCAGATCGGCGAGGCTGGAGCTTCGCCATAGGTCGGCGAGCCTCGAGGTCGTCGGAATCAGGCGAGCTCGAGGCTCGCTAGATTGGCGAGGCTGGAGCCTCGCCACAGGTCGGCGAGCCTCGAGGTCGCCGGAATCGAGCGAGCTCGAGGCTCGCCAGATCGGCGAGGCTCGAGCCTCGCCTAAGGCTGGCGAGCTCGAGTTTCGCCGGCCTCCGGCGAGGTCGTCCCGCCCCGATGGCCGGTCGCCGTGGCCGACCACCGGCTGAAATAAAAAAAAAAGAAAAAGAAAGAAGAGAAAAGAGAAAAGAAAAAATAAAAGAAAAAGAGAAAAAATAAAAATAATTAAATTTTGATTTTTTTTAAACATCTTTATAAAGAGGGAGAGAGCGTGTGGATGGGTCTAGTGGGTGGGTTGGACATGGGTTCCAAACTCAACCCATTTAAAATTTAAAACTCATTTAAGGTTGACTCTTTAAAATTAAAGTGACCCATATGTGACCCATTTATTTTTAAATGGGTCATATATGGGTTTAAGACCCATTTTGACACCTCTAACATAAATCAAGATGGAAAGTTTGTATCAAATGATACCGCTTGGGCAATCTTCTCATCTTCAATTCCGGTTTCAATTCCTCTCCTAACTGAGGGGGAAGGCAGTGAACGCTGGGTGTTGTCGGACATGCGTCATATTGGGAACGTTAGGAAGAATTGGCTAATGCCACCAGAGTCACAATAATGTTGAAAACCTTCGAAGTGTTAGTCAATGATACCAATAAATCTAATAATGCTGATGGAGGTCCACCGTTGCAGGAACTGTCACGGTGGAGCACTAGAAGTCATTGTGTTTGTTGCAGGTGATTCGGCCAGGCAAGGATGTCACGGCTGCACGTTGCGTAAAGCTTGGACCAGACTGATGGTCCGGTTCTGGGGTGGATCCATGGAACCAACGGGCGGTTCCCGGTTCCAATTATTCGAAACCGGTCCTTAGTAGTCGGTTCTCGATTTCAGTGTGGGAACCGCCCATTCATACCATGCTCATCCTTAGTGCATGGGCGTTGGCAAATATGGCTGATGAAGGAGAGGAGCTGAGAAACATTTTGCTCTCACAAGGGGCCTTACTACCTCTTGCAAGAATGATGCTTCCAAACATGGGTTCAACCGTGAGAACAGCTGCCCGGGCATTGTCTAACTTAATCAATGGGCCGAATTAAGTTTCGGTCAAAGTGGGCCGAACCGGGTCGGGTCAACCAGGCTAGCCCGGCCCTGTGGTCTTGATTTGTTGTTTCAGCTAAATTTTGCCAAATTGTCATGTTTTTGCCAAAATTGATATTGAAATTGAGTTAATTTGGCATAATTAGATTTGAATAGTGTTAATGGGTACTATTTATGAAGGATCAATTAGGGCACTAAACTTGCACTTGAGTATTGACGGACCTGTCTCAAGCTTGAACTCTTAAAATTGGCTTGAAATTTTAATGCGTTACGATTCCTAGATCAAACATCGAGAAGGAATCAAGTCTAAAAAATGACTAGAAATGAGTAAATTTTGGAACAAGTGCTTTTCGTTTGAAGGGGCAATTTCATTCCCAATACAATAACGCGAGCAAAAATTAGCCAGGTTGATACACTGCTCCAATACATATTAGAAGAGCGAAGTCACCTGATTTGAGCAAAGCAGTGGCTTAGATTCAGAAGTTGAAGCCGTTCATTCTCGTCTTCAACTATCAGCTTTTTAAACTCTCGATTTGTGATTTTCTAGCTATCGATGCTAGGACCCAACCTCAAATCTGCATGGTTCATGTTCCACTTGGCTTGTTCACAAAAAGTTATCTAATATCACATATATACATGTAACGTCCAACATAAACATAAGTTTTGACATTATCTAGACATTATAGCTACGTTTGTTTTACGGAAATTTTTTTTTAGCAAAATATTACCCTCATTTTCGGTGTTTGGATCGCTTAGGAAAATGAGTCAATAAAAAATCTTTTCCTAATCAACGAAAATCTATACTTAAATTTAGGAAAATGATTTCATCTTTTATAAATCAGAAATTATTTCCCAAAATATGATTATACATTGGCACTTGGATCGGAAACTCTGAGCTTGGGCATGGGAACCTCAACACCCATTCCTAGGTCCTTTGTAACGAGCCCGGGTTTAGAGGCTAGGGCCAAGTCCATAGAGTCCGGTGTGAAACTAGATAAAAGTAGGAAACCACTCAAACTAGAAATATGTTCAAATTTGGAAACCTCTCTGGCTTCGATCGGATTTCCTTTACGGCTCAAACTCGAAACAAATTTACTGGATGTTATGTACTTGTCAAAGGCCATCAGGAAATAATCAGAGTAATTAAGATTCCTTTATTTATAATCCCAAATTTATCAAAAGCATATGTAAGCAGGTCTTGCGGAATATTTTCTACTTCTGGAACTAGTGCTTTGGATTTAAAGGGTCGGTTTCATTCCCAATACACTCCACGCGAGCAAAAGTTATCCAGGTTGATACACTGCTCCAATACACATTAGAAGAGCGAAGTTACGCGATTTGAACAAAGCAATGGCCATGTATATGTGGATTCAGAAGTTGAAGCCGTTCATTCTCGTGGTATTCTTGCAACTCGGGCTGGCTGAGATGGACATCATTTGCAAGGCTGCCTTGAATGAGGGCACGAGCAATTATGTGCTCGTCGTCTACCGACACGCTGTTGCCACAATCGTCATCACGCCTTTCGCCATCATCCTCAACAGGTCTCTCTCCCCGTCCCATACAATCTACGACAATTTATCTAAGAAACTTTTATTGGGCCAACACTTCCATTCCACGTGTGCACTCACGCACCGGTAGTCTCCTCGCATCATTTGGTTTTGGTTAAACTTGACTTTGGATATATTGATCATGGTAACTTTTTTATCAGGACAACAAGGCCGAAGATGACACTCCCCATCTTCATCAGACTGATGGTGCTTGGCTTATTGGAGTAAGTATATCATACTGCCACCTTCTCATTCCCCATATGGGGGGTTATCTAGTCCCATTCCCACAACGCACACACTGTTCTCCTGGCTTATTGAATTATCAGTTTTTCGTCAGACTGTCATCTTCTCATTTCTCATATTGGGGGTTACCATGAAAAAAAATGCAGGGAGCACTGAGAAAGATACACATATTAAACTAATAGATTATAATAGTGCAGTCTATCCAAGAACCTACAGTTCTGCAATGGATATGTAAGCTAATATACCCACATTTATAGAGCAGCCAACTCAAAAAAATAAAAATAAAATTACTCAGGCAGGCTAGTTGCTGTTTTCCAGTATTAGATCCTAATGATAGCTTGTTCCTAAGGATAGCTCCCCAAGTAGACCTCGAGTATTTTCAACCAAAAAAAAATCACTCATGGAGTAATAATTTGCAGGATTCACGCAGCAACACACAAAAATAAAGAATGCAACACTCTATAGTCCATGATGTATCTTTCTAGCCTTGCCTGAGTAAAAAAGCCGTGAAAAAAGGAAACCAAAGAAGGGGATTGTGCTCTGCTAAAAATGTGTGGGAAAATGTGAGGTGCAGATTGACCGTCACTCTTGTGCGGACCTTCCCATTTTCTATTAACAATTATCGCAAAATATAAGGCAATAGTAAGGTTTCACGATAATTGGTTTTTTTTTTTTTTGGGGGGGGTTGGGTTTCACGAGCAATTGTTCATGATTATCTTTAACATGTTTTTTCATTCTCATGTCTCTCAGGCCAGTCATTGACCAGAATTTATACTATTTAGGGATGAAGCACACAACCGCGACATTCGGAGCTGCCATGGCCAACATTCTTCCAGCCATCACCTTCGTCATGGCTTGCATCATGCGGTAAATGATGGTTCTTTTATGATATATAGGTTTCACCTTCTTTTGATTTTCGATGGGACCATACGATAACACCGAATGATTCCACTTTTTTAGGCAATTAATGACTTTTTTTTATCACTACTGGCGTAGACTTGAGAAGGTGAAAATGAGGAGCATTTGGAGCCAAGCTAAGGTTTTTGGGACATTTGCAACAGTCACTGGAGCCATGATCATGACACTAGTCAAAGGCCCGGTTCTCCAACTATTTCGGACACGAGGAGGAGGGACAACCAGCAACAACATTCAAAACGGGAGTGATAGTAGTGGGATCAGCCTCCAGAATTCCATCAAGGGTTCTCTCATGATTGCAATTGGAATGTTCTGTCAAGCTTGCTTCGTGATTCTCCAAGTAATTATTTAATTTAGCCGATCTTTTCACGTTGGACCAATGCATTTTTGTGCGTTAAAAGGCTAATCATAAACAACAATAGCACACTAACTTGCATTGGCATGGTTTTTTTCAATTTCCCACAGGCAACAACACTAAAAAAATATCCTACCGAGATCTCTCTCACGGCTTGGATATGCTTCTTGGGGACTGTTGAGGGTGCCGTCGTGGCTCTAGTCATGGAAAGAGCAAACACTACCGTTTGGTCCATACATTGGGATGCCAAATTACTTGCGGCTGTCTACAGTGTAAGAATTTGCAACTTCATGATTATTTAACCGATTTTCCTTTACAAAATAACTTGGGAAAATTAAGGGAGAAATTATAATGCCTACCACTATTATCACTTCTTGTCATCGGTTATTCTTCATTATAATGCCTAACACTATTTACTTGTGACATTAAGCTTCATTTATTTTTATGAGTGGGATGGGAACAGATGTTGGCGAATTAGTAAAGTAGTTGAGGGGGTGATATTGACTTTTAACATTTTGCTGTTACACTTACAATCCGTAAATCTCGATTACACTATGCAAAAAATGTCGCAGGTTCACACGACATAGAAGGAATAGGAGAATAGTTTTTTGTGAGAAATTAGAAGAGAAATATGCCTAATCATTTTCAAATTATTAACTAACTTATTAAGCATCCTCACCTCGCCAAAATGAAGGTAAAAAGTATGTTCCCAACCACCCACTTCATCCATTTCATTTGATAATTACCCACTGTCTATTATAGCTCGCTTGGACGTATCGTGCATTGCCTCTAGTGATCCTTAATGCAAAACTTGATCATTCTTTCACATTGGTGTTTTAATTCCAATATTTCCAAGGATTTATTTCATTGTTACCAACGACCATTCACCTTGTCTCTCTCTTGGCCCCCACTTCTCCCACTTCCCTATTTTCTTGATAACTTCAAAGCGCTCTCTCTCTCTCCGCTACCTTTGGCCACTAACTTCCGCTAATGTACAACTTCCAAGCCAGCTTTCTTATTCATACACCTTTAATCATTACCAAAATCTTGCGATTAAGCACTGATAAATATTGTTGTGTAAACACAACCTGTTTGTTTAATTGTGGATGCTCACCTCTATTTTTTGGTGCCCCCGACTTTTGCACAAAAAAGGGTAATACCCAAAAAATATTTCGTCAGCTACTTGTGTTGGGGTTGGAATGCAATGCATGGTCAAAGATTGCATTATGAGATAGCATATTATACAATCCCACCACCCATGGTTCCACTTATGGGGGATTTGTTTTCTTGTGCTTTAACTTTTGTTGAATGCAATGTGCAATATGAGTAATGGGTCACTCTCTCTTGCATTGTTCCTTCTTAGCCTCATAATTTATTTCTTTCCTAAGGTGCTTTAGGTCAAATGGCACAATCATGAAGAGGCAACATTTTTTTTAGGGGATAATGACATAAACAGTCCCTGAACTTTGGCTCAATGTGCAATTTGGTCCTTGAACTTTAGCCTAATGTTTAATGTGATTCCTGAACTTTTGATACATTTTCAATTTAGTCACTGAACTATATGAAAATGTACAATATAGTCCCTGAACTTTAATTAATGAAAGGACTACATTGAATATTTTTATAAAGTTTAAGGACCATATTGAATATGTACTAAAAGTTCAGGAATCATATTGAACAAATTGAAAGTTCAGCGACTACATTGAACATTAGGTTAAAGTTCAAAAACTGTATTGAACAAATTAAAAATTTATAGACTAAATTACATATTGAGTTAAAGTTCATGAACTGTTTATGTCATTTTTTTTTTATCGTGCTCTTCCTTTTGAGTCAAGGATGAGAAGTGGTGTCTGAGCGTATGCCTTTATGACGTGAGAGTGTCTCTCTGACCGGAGACAGAAAAAGCACACAGGATGTTTTGGGCGGAGAGGGATTGAAAAGCAAAAGAGAGGAGGAATACTTTCGTAGTATTGTTTTGGGCCTAAAAGTTTAATTTTATAGGATTTTCTTTTTTTCGCAAATAATAAAGGACAAGGAGGAATGATTAGCACTAACGACTCCTCTGGACATTAACAAAGAAGAAGGTGGGACGCTGCGGGGAAGGAAGAGAAAAATGGAGAGGGCCAAGGACAGATGGAGGAGACAAGTCAGTGTTGGCCGTTATGGGCGATGACCTCTGCCGCGATGACACCGTGAGAGACGTCCTACCGTAGTGATGATTGTAGTACAGCCTAAATCCTCATGATGATCGCATTTTAGCGTAGCTTAGGAGTTTTATATTTCCCATCTCAAAATTCATTATCACTATTTTTTCTTTAAATTGTTGTCGATTAAATTCATGCATCTTAAGTACTCAATATAAAGAACATATGAATTTGCGAAAACTCAGGTGTGAGCTTGTAGAACCGAACGTATTGGACGATGTATATTGCGAGGGGCTCTATTTTCCTCCATTCTGATAGGAGAAAACTGCCCCGTTCCAATAATTTGCTGGTGGGTTCTTGATGTTGCCAACATTTTTCCTTTTACTTTTTCCTTGGGAAAGGTCGTCATTTCCTTTGGAAAGCTTCGAGCACACCGCACGTTCACGGTTTGATAGTTGTTTAATAAATGAAAAGGAGGAATCTGAGTTGAGGAATCTCCATCTCTTGTGGATTCCCCATATCAAGCATCTTTAATTGGTATTCTCCTGGAATTGATAGAAGATTCCTAAAGTTAACCCATCGGAATTGCACAGTGTGATTGTGGAGCAGATGTATCGGTGTAAATTGAATATGTTTTGTATAGTTAATTCGATTTCCTCACCATCAAATATAAACAAGTTCATATATGAGCCACCTAAAATGACTTTTGGCTCTCGTTTTCTTCATTAATAAGGCCGATAGGACATTGGATGGCCCCAAACTTTACATGCCTAAAGCCGGTGTGATAAAGAATATCTTGAAGTTGCTTTGCTTATTCTTTTGATGGAATCTTGCCTTTTCCTTTGTGGATAATTAGGAGCTAATGGGACCTGCACAATTCCATTCACTTGATGGAACCCATTAGAGTTCATGTGCCTTTTATGCATGTGAGCCCTTGGATCAAATGGATCTCACAAGATGAATCACAACATTCATGAGTTGAGATGCATGGATTAAATATTTTGCGTAGGGTGCGCTTAAAAAAACTTCTTGGTGAAATGATTAGATATTGTTGGTTGATCCTTTTTAACGCAAATATGATAGGGTACATCGTATATGCAAATATAAGGATAAGTGCATACATATAATTTAAAGGTTTTGGTCGTTGGTTAATTGAGAATTTAATATCTTATTTTGTTCAATCAAGGATTTAAGATTTAAAAGAGTTTAAATCGGGTTTTGAGCTTGCTGTCAATGGAATTTGCATGTTGGACATGACACGCGGCAAACCACCAATATATTTCATGTTGGTGCCACATCGGATTTTGAACGGCCAAAATAAGGTTTTGAATCCTCGATTGACTAACAATCATAATCTCAAAGTCGTGCCTTTGCATTTATCCCTTCAAATATATTTTTGTTGTCAATAGAAACAATGTAAAACTTCTGTTTGTTTTGGACGGGGTGACATGTATAGATGTAGTGCCTAGCCATGTAGAACATGTACCCTGAAGATTTAAAGCTTAGGATCGCATAACTAGAAAATTATAAGTCAAGAGCTTAAAAAGCTGATGGAAAGATGAACACATATACCTGAGAGCTAATCAGAATGTATAAACTCGTCAACAAAGAACGTGAGATAACTTTCCAATACAGATCCATGTGAGCTAGTACGCCATCATTATGGAAAAAAAATTAGTTAACAAGTGCGCTTTTAATTAAGCAAACATATAATAAATTCAATACGAATAAAAATTTACTTCTACCGCTTCAAAAAATTAAGAAGTACGCTCCTGTCACTTTATTAGTAACGAAATTTTTTTAAATAAAGGTATGGAGTTGAGTCATTTTTCCAAAAGAAAGCTTAAAGTGGATCTCATCTTAAATAAGGATTTGAAATGGCCAATTTAGTCTCAAATATGACCCAAACTCACTATTTTACATGAACATGCTAGTCACTTGCTAATTCGGCGTAACATCTGGGGCAATTTTCTCCAAAATTTTCTACTTTGACCTAATTTGAAGAAGCCCCAAATTGAAGTTAGGGTTCGTGCTCAACCAAAAAGCCTCCTAATACAAAATGAAATGACCCCAAATTGTGGTATTTCACTTTCTCCTTGTATTATGGATACGATTTTTCAGATTCTCAATTTTCGATTACTAGCTTTGAAGAGTTTTCTTGTATTTATTTGAATTTTCTGCTGTTATTACTTTCATAAGGAGTTGACAATTTGGTGCTTTTCCGTTTCACGTCAGGAGGCGAGCACGAGTTCTAACTTCAATTCAGGTCAAAGCATAAAATTTTGGACAAAATTGCCCTTGATGTTGACACCGGACTAAGCACATGAGTCACATGCGCAAGTTGGCCGGCCCGGCAAAGATTTGACCGGCCAATAAGCGCAGGATTTTATTTGAAACTAAATTTGCCACTTCAAACCTTTATTTGAGATAAGATCTAGTCTTGGTCATTTTTTAAGAAAATTACATAATTTCATACCCTTATTTGAAATTTCTTTTAAGTGAACTTTTGAAAAAGATCTTTCTTTTAGTTTGTTGGTAAAAATATTTTTTTTTATTTTTCAGTTGAAAACATCATTTCAGTTTTGGCCAAACAGAAAACTCGATCAAAATTATCCGAACCAAACAACCTTTAGACAAGAACCGCTTCATCCCCGTGGAGTGATGGTGTCTGACAAAGTGACTGTACTCAAAGAAAATGCATAAAAAAACAGCACAACAAAGAAAGGCATGAATGATGAAAGAAGTTGTCTTATTAGTGGCAGACAATAAAATAAGCCATTTGTGGTCACTTTTTCCCTCCCACGCTCAAGCTGACCTTTTTATCTCTGCTCTCCAACTAGCTCAAAATAATTTACCAAATATTCTTCAATTTTTTCTTTTTTTCCACTTTAATTTATGTTAATTTTAGTTGAGTTCATTTAAGAAGCAATCAACTAGGCACCGACTCCTCCCTTTGCTTTTATTATGAGGCATTAGGGTTAGGCCTTGGTGGCCTGACTCCTCACTAAAAGAATTCGGAATTGGATCCCCTTAATCTATGAAGTTACAAGACTTATGCGATACTTGTGGACGCGACTACTAAAAATTTTTAGAGCGTTCAGACGAGCAGAAACCCAATAAACGGGCTTAGAGAGAAGAATTCATGCAATTGGCAATAAACCAGCCACACTTTTTTTTTTATTGCGGTGGAATTACGAGAGTTATAATACTAGTTACAAAAATCTCGTTCGAAATGCAATATTTTGGCCGAAAGGGGTCTCGAGCAGCAATCTTTTCAGGCCTCAAAATCTATCGTTTAGGTGCGTTTCCAAGCACTTTTCTGATCTTGAGCCTTTTTCAACAATTTTTTGCTCCTTTTATTATTTACTTATTATTTCTTCTTTTTATGTTTTTGTTTTCATTTAATTTCCAAATCTAATCTAATCTAATATATTATTCTAAAAGTGGCCACAATAAGTGCATTCGATTTTTGCAATTATTCGGAACCGGTCTTTAATAGTTGGTTCTTGATTTTAGTGTGGGAACCACTCATTGAGACCATGCTCTCCCCTAATGCATGGGCATTGGTAAATGTGGCTGGTGAAGGAGAGGAGCTGGGAAACATTTTGCTCTCACAAGTGGCCTTACTACCTCTTGCAAGAATGATGCTTCCAAACATGGGTTCAACCGTGACAACAGCTGCCTGCCTGGGCATTGTCTAATTTAATCAATGGGCTGAATTAAGTTTCGGTCAAAGTGGACCGAACCAGGTCGAGTCAACTAGGCTAGCCCGGCCTTGTTGGTCCCGATTTGTCATTTCAACTAAATTATGCCAAATTATCATTTTTTGCCAAAATTGATATTGAAATTGAGTTAATTTGGCCTAATTAGATTTGAATAGGGTTAATGGGTACTAATTATGAAGGATCGATTAGGGCACTAAACTTGCGCTCGAGTATTGACCGACCTATCTCAAGCTCGAACTCTTAAAATTGGCTTGAAATTTCAATGCGTTACGATTCCTAGATCAAACGTCGAGGAGGAATCAAGTCTAAAAAATGACTAGAAATGAGTAAATTTTGGAACAAATGCTTTTCGTTTAAAGGGGCAGTTTCATTCCCAATACAATAACGCGAGCAAAAGCATATGTAAGCAGGTCTTGCGGAATATTTTCTACTTCTGGAACTAGTGCTTTGGATTTAAAGGGTCGGTTTCATTCCCAGCACACTCCACGCGAGCAAAAGTTATCCAGGTTGATACACTGCTCCAATACACATTAGAAGAGCGAAGTTACGCGATTTGAGCAAAGCAATGGCCATGTATATGTGGATTCAGAAGTTGAAGCCGTTCATTCTCGTGGTATTCTTGCAACTCGGGCTGGCTGGAATGGACATCATTTGCAAGGCTGCCTTGAACGAGGGCATGAGCAATTATGTGCTCGTTGTCTACCGACACGCTGTTGCCACAATCGTCATCACGCCTTTCGCCATCATCCTCAACAGGTCTCTCTCCCCGTCCCATACAATCTACGACAATTTATCTAAGAAACTTTTATTGGGCCAACACTTCCATTCCACGTGTGCACTCACGCACCGGTAGTCTCCTCGCATCATTTGGTTTTGGTTAAACTTGACTTTGGATATATTGATCATGGGAACTTTTTTATCAGGACAACAAGGCCGAAGATGACACTCCCCATCTTCATCAGACTGATGGTGCTTGGCTTATTGGAGTAAGTATATCATACTGTCACCTTCTCATTCCCCATATGGGGGGTTATCTGGTCCCATTCCCACAACGCACACACTGTTCTCCTGGCTTATTGAATTATCAGTTTTTCGTCAGACTGTCATCTTCTCATTTCTCATATTGGGGGTTACCATGAAAAAAAATGCAGGGAGCACTGAGAAAGATACACATATTAAACTAATAGATTATAATAGTGCAGTCTATCCAAGAACCTACAGTTCTGCAATGCACATGTAAGCTAATATACCCACATTTATATAGCAGCCAACTCAAAAAAAATAAAAATAAAATTACTCAGGCAGGCTAGTTGCTGTTTTCCAGTATTAGATCCTAATGATAGCTTGTTCCTAACGATAGCTCCCCAAGTAGACCTCCAATATTTTCAACCAAAAAAAAATCACTCATGGACTAATAATTTGCAGGATTCACGCAGCAACACACAAAAATAAAGAATACAACACTCTATAGTCCATGATGTATCTTTCTAGCCTTGCCTGAGTAAAAAAGCCGTGAAAAAAGGAAACCAAAGAAGGGGATTGTGCTCTGCTAAAAATGTGTGGGAAAATGTGAGGTGCAGATTGACCGTCACTCTTGTGCGGACCTTCCCATTTTCTATTAACAATTATCGCAAAATATAAGGCAATAGTAAGGTTTCACGATAATTGGTTTTTTTTTTTTTTTGGGGGGGTGTTTCACGAGCAATTGTTCATGATTATCTTTAACATGTTTTTTCATTCTTATGTCTCTCAGGCCAGTCATTGACCAGAATTTATACTATTTAGGGATGAAGCACACGACCGCGACATTCGGAGCTGCCATGGCCAACATTCTTCCAGCCATCACCTTCGTCATGGCTTGCATCATGCGGTAAATGATGGTTTTTTTATGATATATAGGTTTCATCTTCTTTTGATTTTCGATGGGACCATACGATAACACCGAATGGTTTCACTTTTTTCGGCAATTAATGACTTTTTTTTATCACTACTGGCGTAGACTTGAGAAGGTGAAAATGAGGAGCATTCGGAGCCAAGCTAAGGTTTTTGGGACATTTGCAACAGTCACTGGAGCCATGATCATGACACTAGTCAAAGGCCCGGTTCTCCAACTATTTCGGACACGAGGAGGAGGGACAACCAGCAACAACATTCAAAACGGGAGTGATAGTAGTGGGATCATCCTCCAGAATTCCATCAAGGGTTCTCTCTTGATTGCAATTGGAATGTTCTGTCAAGCTTGCTTCGTGATTCTCCAAGTAATTATTTAATTTAGCCGATCTTTTCACGTTGGACCAATGCATTTTTGTGCGTTAAAAGGCTAATCATAAACAGCAATAGCACACTAACTTGCATTGGCATGGTTTTTTTCAATTTCCCACAGGCAACAACACTAAAAAAATATCCTACCGAGATCTCTCTCACGGCTTGGATATGCTTCTTGGGGACTGTTGAGGGTGCCGTCGTGGCTCTAGTCATGGAAAGAGCAAACACTACCGTTTGGTCCATACATTGGGATGCCAAATTACTTGCGGCTGTCTACAGTGTAAGAATTTGCAACTTCATGATTATTTAACCGATTTTCCTTTACAAAATAACTTGGGAAAATTAAGGGAGAAATTATAATGCCTACCACTATTATCACTTCTTGTCATCGGTTATTCTTCGTTATAATGCCTAACACTATTTACTTGTGACATTAAGCTTCATTTATTTTTATGAGTGGGATGGAACAGATGTTGGCGAATTAGTATGTGGCACCGGTTTCGACCACTGACTTTGTGCAGCTTGCACTAGGCATTAATGTGAGAATCATAAGCTTATGTCATCGTTAATCCACTTCTTGCTTTAAGAGAGTAACAAATTTCAAGAGGTTCTATTTTTTTTAAGAGTTTCTTTGTTATGCCAGCAGAAAATGACAAATAAATTGAAATGAAATTACCCTCTAACCTTTTAGCTATTCTACTTTGGATTTTTATTCGGTACACTTGTAATGTGCAAAATTATCCTACCAACAAGATTAAGGCACTAACACACATCAAACTTTTAATTTTGCTAATTGCATTCATTTTGTGTAATATATGAGCAGCATATTTACTAAAAATCCTTTTTAACTTTGAAACAAGAAATTTACCTTCTCATATTTGTTATTAGACAAGTTATACCATTCTAGCAAAAAATAAAAGTTATACCATAATTGGTAAATGCAGGGAATAGTCTGCTCAGGAGCGGCCTACTACATTCAAGGTGTGGTCATGAAAGATAGAGGACCAGTTTTCGTCACGGCCTTCAATCCTCTAAGCATGGTGATTGTGGCTGTCTTAAGCACCTTCATGTTGGCTGAGCAGCTTACCTTGGGAAGGTACATTTTTTTCTTCCTCAAAATTCTACCCCAATTCATGCTAATTATCAAATTTTAAAAATTATATTATGATAATTGTTAAATCAGGATTATTGGTGCAATCGTCATTGTGGCTGGTTTGTACCTTGTTGTTTGGGGCAAAAGCAAGGACTACAAATTGCCTTCACCAGTAGATGAGCAATCGTCACTGCCAACAGGGCTGGCTGACCCCGAGGGCATAGACGAGCCAATAGCATTGCCAACAGAGTTGGCTGACCGTGGGGGCAACAGAATGGACAACTTCAGTCATGAGATGATAATCGCTGATGAATAAAATTCGTTTTTATTAGTTATAATTTTCATGAACTATAAATGTCGTGTAATCTCTGAATAGATAGTAGTGATACCTATTTCCTAGATTATCAACGAAGTAGGTTGACGTCGTTTGTGAGGATATATGTGTTTGAGGAAATTCAAAAGGTAATTTATCATTCCCAGACATAATAATCACACTCCGAAGTCAATACACTTTCGCAAACTTTGCACTTGAACATGTTCCAAAAATCCAGATAATATGAATTTTTCATATGATGCGAAATATTGGAAGCGCAAAACACGAGGATTCAAAGCTTTTTAGAACCGAAACGGGAGAATGCTTTTTCTACGTGAGAAAGGTACAAAAACCCAGAAAATGGGAGAGACTCCGGCCAGCGTTATCCTAACATAGCACGACCCAATGGTGTTTAATCAGAAAATGAGGATTCAGTTTCTTCCTTCAAAGACCCATCTCTAGATGTTTCTTTACCATCTCCATTGGACAAACTAGATTTTGATGTTTAATCGTACTCTCCACAAAATTTAAGCACGACCCAATGGTGGATTAATGTGCACTCATTGATTTCAAAAGTTGCACACTGGAGTCTCCTGTTGGCCGTGACCGAATATGAGTGTCCGTGAGTGTGCGTGAGAAGGATTTGGAGATGGTCTTCAAGATCTTCAAGTTAATAACCAAACATTAGCACTAGTAAAAAAAAAAGAAGAAAACAAGATTTTCGAACTTTTTTTTTGTTAGAAGTTTAGTCTACAACAACTTTTATCTTCATTTATTCAACATATGCTTCGTGCAGGGGAAATGCCACCATTGAAGAAGATGCTTACATCATTTGCAAGGTTGCCTTGAACGAGGGCACAAGCAATTACGTGCTAGTCGTCTACCGACACTTTGTTGCCATAATCGTCGTCACGCCTTTCGCCATCTTCCTCAAGAGGGTCTCTCTCCCCGTCCCATACAATTTACGATAATTTATCTGAGAAACTTTTATTGGGCGAACACCTCAACTCCACGTGTGCACGCAAGCACCGCATCTACTCACAACAAAAATTGATAATAGTCGAAAGCATGATAATTTCTCTCTTAATGTTCACAAGTTATTTTGTAAAAGAAAATCAGTTAAATAGGCATGATATTGCGAGTGCTTACACTGTATATAGCTGCTAGTAATTTGATGTCACACTGCATGGACGAAATGGCAATATTTCCTCTTTCCATGAACAAAGCCACAACGGCACCTTGGACTGTCCCTAATAAGCATATCCAAACCATGTGAGAGATCTTAGAGAATATGTGTGAAGTGTTATTGTCCGTTGGAAATTACCAAAAAAAAAACAAAACACACTATCGCAAGTTAGTGTGTATTGTTGCTAATGATTAACCATTATACCGCACCAATCTCTAAAAGTTTCTCTTCTGAGAGTATAAGGCACTAAGCTTGCAAAACTTAAAATTACCTATTGATCCGACATGAAAAGATCGATTAAATTATATTAATTACTTGAAGAATCATGAAGAAAGCCTAGCGGAAGAATCGAGCCTTTGATTAGCGTCCTGATCCGGAGAGACGGCGAGGCTCACCGGCCCTGGCTTCTGACTGGTTGTCGGTCCGGCGACCGGCTAGAAGAAGAAGAAGAAAGGGAAGGAAAAAAAAGAATAAGAAAGAAAAAAAGAAAAGAAAAGAATAAAATAAATAAATAAATAATTCAAAAAATATTAAAATTTAATTGAAAGTTGCCTACGTTAGCTTTGACGATGCCATGCAAGTCGACTGGCATCCACGTTAGCAATATCCGGCCAAAATTAGCCGGAATGACTGAATTGGCATAAAAAAAAGATTTAGAACGAAATTAACATAAATGCAATAGGTTTAAGACTTTTCTGACACTTTTCTCGGTGACTCTCTCTCAAGCTTATTATTTGTTATCTCTTGTTCAACATATTCGGGTCTACAAGGACCAGGCCGAGAAAGACTAATTTTTGCACATAATGGATCAACTCAACTTCGTTCCTTGATAGTGTCCGGCCCAATGCGAGTTGATATATTGTCTTAATACAAAAGTTGGGCCCAAATAAAAGAAAGAAACACATCGCCTGGGGCAGATTTTCATCTACTTGTAATTTCCATTATTCATTTTCCCTAAGAAATCTGCTATTTTAAATTTCGAAAATTGCGAAAGTACTACATGCAATTTGACGTGTCAAGATTTTGAGTATTTTGAAAGTTTAAAATGTTTCGTGTTAATTAGAAATGAAAGTGCAGGCATCATAAATCTTATAAAAAATCAAAAGTGAATAGCTGAAGTTACCGATTCATGTCGCTTTCTGTGAATACCACTGCATAGATTTGTCACACTTTGGGTCATAACCTGAAAAAAATCCTGTGATTATGATGATTTGGTTCTATTATCAAAAAACCCCTATATGCCAGTTTATGAAAAATGCCTGCTCCGACTTAACTTCCAGAATTATTAAATATTTGTTAGGTGTCAACAACATACATGAATTTTGCTTCCAGAAAACATCGACGTACCAAAAATCACGGTATGTACCAACTCCGAAGGTTTGGATAACATTCACAATTGCAAAGACTTATCTCGAGAACGACTAATTAGGTCGAATCTTCTTAATTAATGAACTTTATGTCACTACAAATGTCAAATCCTCGAATGGCTAATCAGTTTCCGTTAGTTTCCGGAGTTTCTTTGTCATTACTTGTACTAATCTTGATCATCTCATGACTGAAGTTCTCCTTCCCGTGGCCCCCTGGGTCAACCGACTTTGTCGGCAATGCTTTTTGCTCGTCTATTGGCGAAGAAGAAGACGCGTAGTCCTTGCTTTTGCCCCACACGACAAGGTATAAACCGGCCACGATGACGATGGCGCCGACAACCCTAATTTAACAAAATCGATTAGCATAATGTACTTTTCTTAAATTGATGTTTTGCACGAATTGGGGGAGAATTTGATGAGGAAAAAGAAAGTACCTTCCCAAGAAAAGCTGCTCGGCTAAAATGAAGGTACTCAATACAGCGACGATCACCATGCTTAGAGGACTGAAGGCCGTGACAAAAACCGGTCCTCTATCTTTCATGACCACTCCTTGAATGTAGTAAGCCACTCCCGAGCACACTATTCCCTGCATTCCCCGATCATGTTATAACTCACAAGTTAAAGTTTGATATAATAGAGACGAGAAGGCTTGTTTCGAAGATGAAAGGGAATTTTAGTAAAAATATTGCTCGTATGAAATACATTTGGCACAAACATATATGAAATAGGAACTTTCATCTACAGACAAAATGAAAGCAGTTACCTGTGCCACTGGGGGAAACTCTCGAGGAGCCATGTTGATTACATGTCTAAAATATACAAAGTAATAAATAAGGAAAAATTTATAGGAAAAATTTATAGCCTGGGTTCAATCAATGTCCTAATGAACTTCATAATGAAGGATCACCAACAAGTGATGATAGTGGAAGGCATTATAATTCACCGCTTAATTTTCATGAGTTAGTTTGTAAAAGAATATCAGTTATAATCATGAAGTCATGAACGCTTACACTGTAGACAGCTGCAAGTAATTTGGTGTCCCACTGGATGGACCAGACGGCAGCGTTTCCTCTTTCCATGACCAGAGCCACGACGGTACCCTCAACTGTCCCCAAAAAGCATATCCACGCCGTGAGAGAGAGCTCAGCAGGATATGTTTGTAGTGTTATCGCCTGTTAGAAATTACAAAGAAAACGAGACCGATGCAAATTAGTGTGTTATTGTTGTTTGTGATTAGCCTTTTGACACATAAAAAACGACACCGTGGCATTCTCTGAAAGCTTCCCTTTTGAGAGTGTGAGACGCTAATTTTGATGAACTTAAATTTACCTACTAATCCAATATGAGAAGATCGACTAGATTGGATCAATTACCTGGAGAATCATGAAGCAAGCCCAGCTGAAACATCCAGCTGTGATCATGAGAGAACCCTTTATGGAATTCTGGAGGCTGATCCCACCATTAGAACTCCCATTTGGAATGTTGTTGGAGGTTGTCCCTCCTCCATTTGTCCAAAATAATTCGAGAATTGGGCCTTTGATTAACGTCATGATCATGGCTCCGGCCACCGTTGCAAGTGTCCCAAAGACCTTGGCTTGGCCCCTAAGGCTCTTCATTTGCACCTTCTCAAGCCTACGCCAATAGTGATTGAAAAGTCATTATTTGCCTTTAAAAGCTAAACAATAGGCATTATCGTCTGATCCAATCGCAAATCAAAAGGAAGGTCAGACCTTATGATGAAAGAACTATCATATCATGTCCGCGATAGATCGAGTTCATTTACGGTTCTCCAAAAGCAAACAAATTGGTTGTTCTGTGCCAGGTATGTATGTTGGACCATGATCAGATCCAATTTTAGTGAAAACTTTAGCATAGATTAATATCTCTTTATGGTGAAAACTTGATGATATTATGAAAAGACGCATATGGAAATCATAAGTTCCAATGGTCACGATGGAGTGATTTGCTTGTGTCGAGAGCGGAGTTAGCACACGTTCATTACCGCATGATCCAAGCCATGACGAAGGTGATGGCCGGAAGAATGTTGCACATGGCAGCTGCGAATGTCGCGGTCGTGCGCTTCATCCCCAAATAGTATAAGTTTTGGTCAATGACTGGCCTGAGAGAGAATCAACATGTCAAAAGGTGTTCAGGCACAAATTAGCAATGATAAGTTTAACTTCATACTTACTCCAGTAAGCTAAGCACCATCAGTCTGATAAAGATGGGGAGTGTCATTTTCGGCCTTGTTTTCCTGAAGAAGAAATGTTCACATGATTAATCGATTCAAATTCAAGACTTCACATTCAACCAAAACTACACGAAGCAAGGAGAAGGCGGAAGTGTTGGCCCGATAAAAGTTGTTCGACAAAACAACAAGGATGTATAGCAAGACTCCACTGATAAAGTAATAAAAGCTTGTCATAGATACAAGAAAATTGTCGAGTGGGAACAAATTCGGAAAGCACTCAAATATTTCTCACATATGTTAGTTTAGATTATATGGTGGACAGAGAGAGATACTTGTCTAGGACGATGGCGAAAGGGGTAATCACGATGGTGGCGACGGCATGGCGGTAGACGACGAGCACGTAATTACTCATGCCCTTGTTTAGGGCCGCCTTACATAGGATGTCCATTCCTGCCAGGCCAAATTGCAGGAACACCACAGCAAGGAAGGGCTTCAACTTGGGAAACAACGCCTTCGTGTCCATCGCTTTGCTCATTATCATATATCTTCTCTCCTCCCGTGTGCTGGAGAAATATCGGACTGGCTACAATTGCTTTTATTCTTGGAGGCTGTCTTGGCAGAACACTTCGACCGTTTAAATAGCCCTTGTCCCAAAAGCTAGACAAATTATGGAACACGCGTATATTGTGCACACACTTTTAAAAGAAATCTCGGGGCTCCACTAGGAATCAAGGAAACTCAATTATTACTCTAATATTTTTTGTCCAATATTTTTACTCTAATTGGCCAATCAAGATATGGCCTTGAGCCAATAACAGTGCACTCGAGAGTACTGTTGCTGGGCGAGCTTATAAACATTTTAAAGAAAGAGATTGACCCCTTTGCGCAATTTGCTTATTGTATGTGGTTTTGTGACGGTTGAGGGTCAGTGGCAGAGGAATTAGTGCTCCTGCACGTACGCAATGGATATTGCGTCACTCGTTAGGCTGGTTTTGATACGGTGATTCGAATCCTTGTGCTGCAATTGTCTATGATCATGTACTTCAGATTTTCAATTCGCTTGTGAAAAGTTTCTTTCTTTTTTTTTTGAGTTAATACCACGAAAAATTCCAAACTAGTACACATGTTAAAATGTGCAATAAAATGTATTCCCCATGCTTAGCACAGGGCAGTAAAATATCGCCCAATGAAAAAGAAACTTAAAAGTAAACAGAGATTTTATATAAATCTTAGGATTTTATCAATAACAAAGAACGTACGAATGGACTCATATTTTTCCCTTTTTATCTTGTCAGGCCCATACATGATTAATTAAATGAAAACACATGAATTACAAAGCAAGACATGAATTTATTTTTTTTTTAAAAAGAAGTTTTTTCAATTACAGAAATTCACGAGTTAAAACCCTCTCCTCGTCAATAGTTTGTTTGAAAAGGCAAAGGCCAGGGCCAACAGAAAAATCAATGGAGACGAGACGTTACCTCAACTTTTTCATCGTCTCTTTTTTATTTATCTATTCGAATAGAGCCCTCTCAATTCTCATTTACTTCACTCAATCTGTTCTGTATAAAAAATTGGGCTTGCGTGTAACAACTCCTCTCTCGCGTGGCTTGCATGCAAGCTGGATTATGAGCCACACGCGAAACAGGCTGAGGTGAAACCTGACTTTGATGTCATATTAGAATGTCTAAACTAAAAAACTCGAGCCATTTAAATATAAAAAAACACACATATATAATTATTGTATAAATTTATAAATAAGTGACATGGGATGCTTTTAACACACGCGTCTAATGTTGGATGGGTGTGGAAAGTTCAGTTGCAGAGTTAACTCCAAACACACCCGGTCTGCCACATATCATTTAAATTATATGAATGGGGACTTTTACAGGAAATATCGTCCATGGAAAAAAAAAGAGGGTTAATACAACGAAAAACCCCAAACTGGTACACTTATGACAATTTTACTCCAAACTAATTTTTTACCACAAAAAACCTTAAACTGGTACACCTGTGACAGATTTACTATCGGTTTGTTTCCGCTAAATTTTACTATCAAATTACTTTGTTAAATGACATGTGATAGTTGACGAATGTAAAATTTACTTTGTATCGATTTACGACAGTTGTCATTTAAATGATATGTGGTAGACCGGCGGGTGTGTTTGGAGTTAACTCTGCAACTTAACTTTCCACACCCATCCAACATTAGACGCGTGTGTTAAAAGTATCCCAAATCACTTATTTATAAATTTATACAATAATTATATATGTGTGATTTTTTTATATTTAAATGGCTCGAGTTTTTTAGTTTAGACATTCTAATATGACATCAAAGTCAGGTTTCACCTTAGCCTATTTCGCGTGCGGCTCATAATCCAGCTCGCATGCAAGCCACGCGAGAGAGGAGTTGTTACACGCAAGCCCGATTTTTTATACAGAACAGATTGAGTGAAGTAAATGAGAATTGAGAGGGCTCTATTCGAATTTGAGAGGGCTCTATTCGAATAGATAAATAAAAAAGAGACGATGAAAAAGTTGAGGTAACGTCTCGTCTCCATTGATTTTTCTGTTGGCCCCGGCCTTTGCCTTTTCAAACAAACTATTGACGAGGAGAGGGTTTTAACTCGTGAATTTCTGTAATTGAAAAAACTTCTTTTTAAAAAAAAAATTCATGTCTTGCTTTGTAATTCATGTGTTTTCATTTAATTAATCATGTATGGGCCTGACAAGATAAAAAGGGAAAAATATGAGTCCATTCGTACGTTCTTTGTTATTGATAAAATCCTAAGATTTATATAAAATCTCTGTTTACTTTTAAGTTTCTTTTTCATTGGGCGATATTTTACTGCCCTGTGCTAAGCATGGGGAATACATTTTATTGCACATTTTAACATATCCGACGCGACTAAGGCTTTTTAAGTCGATGTGTCCATATATAATTAAAGTTTCAATTTTACATAGTTCCAGAATCTCTTAGAAGACAGCGTTATCTTATGTAGTAAAAATTTGATAAAACTTGAGATATGCGGTTCCCGTACAGATAAGTCTATAGGCAGTCTCTGAATAAACATGTTTCAAATATTTACTTGGTCGAGCTGGTGTCCTACCTCGTGATAAGTTGTGCGCAAAATACAAAATACAACGTGAAAGTACGTGAAGAGAAGACATTAAAAATGAATTTAACAGCAAAGAAAATTTTATAAAAATATAAGTCAATTTTCCTTTGGATTCTCAAACTTCAAAACTATTAAATCAATTATAAAACTAAACTTTTGTGCCTATGGTTATGGATATTCTAATGTTCTTCTCTCTACTCGTTTGTTAAACAAGTTGATGGCTCGGTTATGACTTATCAATTTAGACCGTAAAAAATCATGTGCAAAGCTTATTTATAATTTTGATGTACTCCCCGAGTTCACCATTATATCTTCCCATCCACAATTACTCTAACTTAGAGAAGTAGTTGAGGGGGGTGATATTGACTATTTCCAATTTGTCGTTACACTTACAATTCGAAAATCTCAGCTACACTATGCAAAAAAAATGTTGCAGGTTCACAGGAGATAGAAACATTCTCACCTCGCCGAAAAGAAGGTAAAAAGTATGTTCGAAACCACCCGCTTCATCCATTTCATTTGATAATTACCCACTGTTTTTTATAGCTCGCGTGGAAGTATCGTGCATTGCCTCCAGCTATCCTTAATGCAAAACTTGACCATTGTTTTTACATTGGTGTTTTGATTCCAATACTCCTAAGGATTTTATTTCAATCCACTACCATCCGCCATGTCTCTATCTTTGCCCCCACTTCTCCCACTTCTCTATTCTCTTGATAACTTCAAATCTCTCTCTCTCTCTTTCTCTCCCTTACCTTCGGCCACTAACTTCTGCTAATGCACGACTTCCAAGCCAGCTTTCTTATTCATACACCAATAATTATTAGTAAAATCTTGCCACTAAGCATTGATAAATATTCTTGTGTAAACACAACCTGTTTGTTTAATTGTGGATAATCACCTCTATTTTTTGGTGCCCCCATTTGCACAAAAAGGGGTGATACCCAAAAAAATATTTTGTCAGCTGCTTGTGCTGGGGTTGGAAAGCAATGCATGGTCAAAGATTGCACTATCAGATAGCATATTGTATAATCCCACCACCCATTGTTTTCGCTTATGGACGTTTTGTTTCCTTGTGCTTTATCTTTTGTCGATTGCAATGTGCAATATGAGTAATAATGGGTCACTCTCTCTCGCCTTGTTCCTTCTTAGCCTCATAATTTACTTCTTTTTTAAGGCGTTGTATGTCAAATGGTTCAATCATGAAGAGGCAACATTATTTTTTTTATCGTGTTCTTCCTTTTGAGTCAAGGATGAGAAGTGCTGTCTGAGTGTATGCTTTTATGACGTGAGAGAGTCTTTCTGACCGGAGGTAGAAAAGGCACACAGAATTATTAAAGGACGGAGAGGGATGGAAACGTAAAAGAAAGGAGGAATACTTTCGTAGTATTATTTTGGGCCTAAAAGTTTGTTTTTATAGGATTTTATTTTTCACAAATAATAAAGAGAAGGGAGGATCTGGACATTACTATCAGAGTCTTATTCCTGCTAGGAAATGTTCGGATTGTAGATACTTTGTACCACCTGTGAACCGGATGTTCAAGGCTGACAATTTTATCACCGCGGGTTTATCGAGATTTTAGTAGTCATAATATATTTTCACATGACAGAATGTAGCAGCTAGGTTAAGCAACATGAATCTAACTCGTGACTTTTAAAAAAGTAGCTGCCCCTTTACCGCCAAGCCAATCACTTCAGTAGGTATTTTTTTTTATAAGATTTTCATTTCATTTCCTGTAAAAAAAATCAGTTTTAACTATCGTCATTGAAAAAATGGCACTACAAAAAAACAAGGGATTAGCGACGAATTTTGCAACGAAAAATTTGAAAAAATCCGTCGCAAATCGAATTTGCGACGAATTTAGCGACGGAAAAAATTCCGTCGCTAATAGGTCGTCGCAAAATTCATGGCAAATTAGCCAAGAAAAAAATTCGTCGCAAATAATTCGTCGCAAATTAGCCACGAACACTATCCGTCGCAAATTAGCCACGAACTTTATTCGTCGCAAATTAGCCACGAACTTTATTCGTTGCAAAATCTATCACGAAATTCGTCGCAAAATTAGCCACGAACTTTATTCATCGCAAAATTTGTCGCAAAATTCGTTGCAAATTCATCGCAAATTAGCCACGAACTTGATTCGTCGCTACTTATTCGTCGCAAATTAGCCACGAACTGTAATGGTCGCAAAATTCGTCTCTAAATATTCGTCGCAAATTTTACACCATTTCGGCCATCAAATCTTGTCCATATCAAACCAGACACAATGCCATATAATTGAAAAATATAACTGAAGGAAAGATGCTAGTCCGCAAAAAATAATGATATATGCAAAGTTGCAAAGTCTGACATGATGCTTTTTGATATTCAATCTTATAATACATTCAAAACATTCATAGGAGGCGGGACAACCATAGATTTTGCTTAAAAAACGAAAAATCGACAAACCATACACAAGATTGGGCAGCTTTGGTACTCGGCAGGACACCAAAAGCAGTCAC